GCACTGGCTTGTAAACCCAAACTAGGAAAACAGTGGCAATTGATATAAGCCTTTTGGGCTCTAGGTTGGAAGGAGAGTCTCCTGGATCTCTCCCTGTCTGACATAGTCCCAAGACCTCAGAGGGAACAGAGGTGTCTCCATGATGACTGCAATAAGCTTCTTAGGGGAGCAAAGCCAGGGACTCATCCACGTCTATGGCTCTGGGATTATGAGTAACAAAGTCAGCACCATTCCATGGCATCATTGCTTTGAGGCTGGACTCCAGCCCTGTTCCTGACCCAGAATGATAGGAAAAGGAAGCTGCAGGTTTCCATGGCCCCAAATAAACACAGCCTGCTGGGGCCATCTGGTGCCCTGGATTCTGGGACTGGAGAGGGGGGTAGACGAGAGAATGAGACAAGTTATTCTGGGGTGGAGAGAGCAGCTGCCAAGCTCCTTTTACCTGCTGCTGTTGTGAACCATCCAGAATAGAGGCCCTTCAGGGAGAAACGTGAGAGGGGCCACCTGTTCCCTTAAAAAGGTGAGCATTGAAGGCTGAGGCCCGCCTTCTTCCCTTCCTTGGTCCTCCGTAGGCTGAAATGGCACTTCAGGAAGGAAGGGGACATTCACGGGTGAGAAGAGAGTGGAACACACATAATCTCCAAGCCCTTCCTGGCAGCTGAGGGGCTTACAGGCAGCAGCCCTTCTCTATGGCCTGTGAATTGGGGTACCACCCAGACTGGCTCTTAAAACTCAACATTACGCCCGGCCAGCATGGCTCAGTGGTTGAGCATTGACCTGTGATCCAGGAGGTCATGGTTTGATTCCGGTCAGGGCACATGCTAGGGTTGCAGGCTCAACCCCCAGTCGGGGGCACGCAGGAGGCAGCCAATTGATGATTCTCTCTCATCAGTGATGTTTCTAATCTCTCGCTCTCCCTTCCTCTCTCTGAAATCAATTTTTAAAAAAAGAAAAAAACAAGCCCTCAGCATTACATGGATATAGGGGATGTTTAGTATTGCATAGTGGGACTTGGTCAGGTCCAGGTTCAAATATTTCTAAGTGACTCTGAATTACTAACTTAACCTCTAAGCCTCAGGATCCCCATCAGTAAAACAGATTTTATAGCTGCCTGTCAGCGGGCAACAACAGGTAGCTGCTACTAAGGCATGCTAAGCGTGTACAGGTTTTTTGAAGGAACTTCCTTTTACTTTCAGAAATCTGATGGCTTTTATTTTTTTTTTCTCTGCAGCAATGGGGTGGGAAATCCAGTCTGACCAGCTCTATTCCAGACCTTTCCTTCTCCCCAGGGGCTGGGCAGGCAGCACAGAGCATGCCCCCTGGCGTGGGTGGGCAAAGTTGCCCGCTTCTTCCTGGAAGCTGCTTCCTTCTCTGCCTGGTTGCCTGAAAACACCGCCAGGCTTTCAGCTCAGGGCTTGCAGGGAGGGCACAGGCCTGTTTCTTGGGGCCGTGGGAGGGGGACCAGTGCCCCTTACCACAGTGTTTGGTCTTGGGGAAGGTCGTCAGTCTGGGAAAGGAGAGAGGCCGGGGAGAGACAGCTTCCTTTGCTCCTCAGGTGCAGCTGCTCTGGTTTCTCACCTGCAGAGTGCTCTCCATCCCACTGGATGGGAAAATCCACAGCCATTGCATGCTGTGTACTTGAAACCTGCACACCGGTCAGTTGACTTAAAAAGCAGACACCACCAATTTGGAACTCCCCACACCACACTGTCTCGCCTCCAGGGTACAAGGGAGGTGGCTCCTGCCTCCTTCAGGAACAGGGGAGGGAGAGGTGTTGGGGGAGATCCCTGAGCTGACCTCCAGGGGAAGATTATGGAAGCTTTTCCTCCTGGGATTGGGATCCACAGCCGGTGGAATTTTGTGTGGAAACAGGCAGGTGGAGAAGGCAGAGAGAATCTGAACCCAAGGATTCAGGAGCTTTTTTTTTTTTTAAATCCTCACTCGAGGATACTTTCCATTGCTGTTCAGAGAGTGGAAGGCAGAGAAAGAAACATCGATTGGTTGCCTTCTGCTCTCGACCTGACTGGGGCAGAGCCTGCAGCCCAGGTTCGTGCCCTTGGCCGGAATCGAACCCCAGACCTTCAGTCCACAGGCCGAGGCCCTAACCACTGAGCAAACCTGCTGGAGCCAGGAGCCTTTTCTCTGGCTTCTGAAGTCGAAGCTGTTGGCAGGTGTGGGTTGAGAGGGGAGATGCAAAATCTCTGCAGCAAGGAGGGTCCAGCCAGCATGGGGTGCCCTGCGAGGTGACGTGACCCTCATAGCTGGCACTCGGCAGCTTCCGAGACCTACTGCTCAGAGGTCACTAGCTGCCAGTGGCGGGGCAGTGAGCCCAGGAAGTCCTGTCCCCAAAGCTGTGCGATGGGAGGCAGTGTGCCACACGCACAGACAGGACCAGGGCTCCGGGGCCATTTCTGCTTTTAGAATACTGGTGCACTTTTTATTAAAGAAGAGAATAAAGCATTTGTAAATATATTTCTCTCATGTATACATCGAAGGTGATGCTGGTGGGCTGCTACAGAACCGGGGCATGACCAGGCAGGAGCCCTTCCCCCACCGCGGCGCACCCTACCCTCCACCCTAGATGACAGACCCGTGGGGGCTGGGAGCTTCCCAGCTCCAAGGACAAAGGGCTCCATATGTGGAAGAAGGACCAGCACACAGCTCTCATCACAGTGCCACCCAGAGGGCAGGGTGGCACCTCTGGGGAGGTCGGGCATGCTTGTTAAGAAAACCCCTTTACCCCTTAGAGACAGGTAAGGCATGAAGGTGCCCACTGGGCTCCCAGCAGAGGCCAGGGCCCCCGCCTTCACTGGGCTGTACGGCTCCTCCGATTTCTTGGGTCTCAGCACAGGAGGCAGAAACGGGAAGCCCCGGAGAATTGCTCAGGGCAAGCTGGGGACCTTGGCATCTCTAAGTTGAAGCTGGACTTTCTGAAGCCTTAAAAGATTAAACCCTGGACCCAGCTGGGTCCTCAAGAGGCCCCCACAAAGGAAGGAGGCTGAGCAGGCATTTTATGGGAGGAGACACACTCTCCATCCCAGGCCCACTTCAACACTGTTCAGTGTGGGGTGAGTCTTGGGCTGTCCCCAGTGAAGGGGGGCAGGGGTGGAAGCTGTTGCACATGCCCAGGACATTCTGGGGGCAGCAGGTGTGACCTGCGGTGGGGTCAGCCTGTGGGGAGCATGGGAGTGAATGAGACACGTTATGGTCCCTGAGGTGGGGGAAGGCAGAGGCCAAACTCAATGAGTTGCAGGCGGCGTGCAGAGATGGGGGGCTCCCCACCGCCCAGACCCCTGGAAGGCTTAATGCCCAGAAGGCGTTTCCAGGGCTGGAACCCAAGGAGGCTGGCTCTGAGGGGAGCAGGGAGCACCGCTCGTGTATGGCTGCCGAGGGGCTCTGTTCCCCTCTTCTGATTGGCTACAGATCTGCAGTGGGCTGCGGGTCTCTGGGGACAGGGCCACCCTCACCA